CTATTGGGAAAGTGTTGCCAGAGTCCAAATGCGTAGACAAAGCAATGGGCGTTATGTCCTGTTCTTTCCTTTTTAAAAAGTAGGATAGGTTGCATTATAATACAATACCTTGTGATATGCTACAATGTAGTGCAACATGCTCCAATGTATGGAGTTGGTTAAAATGTCATTTTATGGCACTTCAATAAAGTTTAGAAAGAAGTAAACAGTGCAGTGCATTTTAACAATGCTTTGCACCTCCCCTACACAACACACACCAGCAAGTGTGCATTATATGGAGGATAATGTGTGCCTGCTGGTGTGAATGGGCCCTGAGCTTAGGCATCAAGAATCCAGACCATTGTGGTGATATGCAGACTTATAATGGGAAGGTCCCTTGTTTGAATCCCCATTTATCAGCCCTGCTCTCCTTCAAGCTTAGCCCTCTTTTACATTAACATGAGTAGAGTGACATGAGTTGATGCATGTAATCTATAAAACGCTGTATAATGACCTAAAAGAAATATACTTTAGAGGGAAATATTTCTCTATGATGGCAGAACTTTCTTTGGCATTTGCCTATTTGGGAAACGTGAAGAGTGCAAGTTTACTGGGCATTTATTATCTTCATTCATATATTTTAACTTGAAGCACCTTCAACTTATATATATATATTTTTTTTAGCTTTTCATGTTGACAGTATAACCATGCAGGTTATGGTGAGAAGGGATCAAAAAGCCCTGATTCTAATCAATGGGTAACACAGTAAAGCCTTCTTAACAAAGAAGGTACACATCTCCTCCCATCACATTTCCCAAAAATAATAAAATTATTTCTTATTTCAAAACGGTGGGCAGAGGCTTTCAAATCATTCCTTTATGGGATCAGTAGGACATCCAGAACCACTGCTCTATAGTTAAATATAGCCTAATATTACTGAGTCAATTATTCCAAACTGCATGAAGCTGTTTCAGGCCATCATCAGTGCAGTGTATGGAAATCATATCATTCTTAAAGTGGAACTCCACCCTTAAAAGGAAAGTTCTGCTTTAACACCTCCTTCCCCCCCCCCCTCCCACTTTTGGAGGTTTGGAGGTTTGGTGGGGTGTGGGTACCTAGTTTCAGCACGTACCTGCTCCCAGCGCCTATGGGATCAGAGTGGATGTTCTCCATCCACCCCTGCTCACAACCTTCTGGGACATGTCACAGGTCCCTGAAGGCTGTGGGTCCATTCAAAAAGCACAGCGTGACTCACATGTGTAGTGGGAAGCCATGAAGTAGTGTTTTCAGGACCCAACAAGACAGTATTGCCGTACAGGTTAATGTTGTGCATTCTATTTTCATTTGTCCATCCATAACTTATTTACACTTTTGTCACTTAGGATTTTCTGGCAGTACTATATGATTTATATAAGTGATTACAAGAGAGTGTTTGAGTTTGTAATATATATAGGAACTAATACATTTGACCACTTTTATACACACAAACTATTTTTGTTTTCATTGTGTCTCTATAATTATTGGTAAAAGAAGAATATTGCGTGGCCCATACTGTACTCTTTTTATACTCAATATTTTCTTTCTTTTTTTTTTTTTTTTTGTTCCTCGCTATTTTAAATGCTGCAGAATAGGGTCGTTTTATGTAAAATGTTATAGTGATTAATAGGGTACATAGATGAAAGGGCTCTTGTTATCAAAAGTTTTTTCAGATTCTGTTAATTGGGTTGTTATACTGTCTTTAATGGGCCTAGGCACTTCTGAAGTTTTTTGCTGACAAATGCAGCAGATATTTGTACTAATGAGGTACTAAAACATCACAGTGTGTCATTTGATTCATGGGAAACAGCCAGGATGTGTAAAGCACATGTGAGGTTTGACTGGAAGATGCTGTCTAGGGTCTGATTTATCTGGTTGACAGCACAAAGTCCTGGTCCACAGGCCTATAAGTGAGAGTGTCTTGTTGTTTCTCCCCAGTGTAGAATAAGCACAAGAAAGAATATGATGGGTGCAATGAGCAACACCAACTGAGATTATTCTACCCAATAAAAGTTCAAACAAGGTGCTGGATTAAAATTATCAATAGATCAATTAGATTGTGATATGACACAGTGGTTCTGGTAAGGCTCAACTAGCAGGGTGTCCCAAAAGCAGAGGGCCCAGATTTAAAGATTTGAAAGCCCAATCTGAGCACCTAACAAAAAGGTCTGAGAGTCCAAAAGCTTTTAATATCAATATTTGTAAACAAAGAGACCGCATATGCGTTTCGGGGTTTTAAAGATCTCTTCCTTCTTCAAAGCTTGAGTACGGTGGAAAGATTTGAGGAGTCAAAGAGTGGTGCAGTAACTAGGCTTTAATTGCTTACTGTGTGAAAAACTGGATATGACCAAAAGCAGTGGCTCAATAAATCAACCATAAATGTATAAATCTTTATACTTCATTATTTTCTTACTTTTACTTGTTTTAACAAGCCAGAAAACAGCGTGCTAGCTCAGCAACCGATAACAGCCAAGATGAATTAAAGTTTATCTGCAGACAAAACATTTTCTTTTTAATTTTAGATGACAGCCAGGGATTCCGATCATTTTAGAGGGATTTCTTCTCACTTCCTGTTGTGGCTGTGGGACAGGAAGTTAAGGGAAGTCTCCCCAATGGAACGATAGCAAAATAAAAAAACACTTGACATGGGTTATAGCCATCCCTTACTCTATTCGAAATGAAAAGAAAAGTCTGCCCTTTGGATCAACTTTAATTTTACCAATACTTTCCTTACCCTCTTTTATTGAATTGTATTGTAACTACTGTCTCCTTTCTTTTTGTAAAAGCACTGCTCAAACAGTTGATGCCATATAAATACTGTTTAATAATAATCATCATTTCAGTGACATATTATCATGGAATATGTCTATGCATCATTACTTTTTGTGAGTGAAGCCTGTCTGTGTACTGTTTACATGCTGTGAGATACAAAATGGCTTTCACTAATATTCGCTTTTTTTTCCTAGGGGATTTCTCTGTTGAACAAAAACAATGGACAGCCCAATATCACTTTCCGATATGACAGTAAGTTTCTGTTCATTGCAAAATATTGTATGTATTAATGAGAAGGGGCATGCAGGCCATAGATGATCTCTGGTTTGTATACATAATCAGAGAAAAAGGAATATGTTATTTATTAACAATGAAGCATTTCCAACCTGCTCCCCATTACCATATTACCACCAATTGCTTCATTGACAACTCTGTGTAATGGCAGTGTGACATGTTTTACAGGCCATAGAGAGCAATGATAACTTAACAGAGGTTCTAACTTTTCTCTAACCCATCCACAGATTAAAAAAAAAAAGTTTGGTTATACATTCGCTGTAATGGGCCTACATATAAATGTTTTCACAAAAGATTCACTGAACTTTTACCTAAGATTTATACATTTTCCCCGATTGAATCCAATTACAAAAACGTGTGGGTGAAACATTTATAAACAGACTCAAGTGTCGTTTCCATATGTAATAAATAATTTGTTATATTTATCTAATGTTCAGTGTGCCATTCAAGCTTTTTACGTTCGTTCTTCAATACTTTCATATTTCTTGTTCTGGTGACAGCTCTGATTTTTTTTAATTTCACATTTGTCTCTCAGTAACAAAAATCACCCGAATTTAGAGAATATACAAATATAGAGAGTGACTTTTTCTTGTGGGGACATGGACAGCAATAAAAATTGAGGTTGCACTGATATCAGTATCGGTGACGATACCAAGTATTTTCACGAGTACTCGTGAAAATGCTCCTGATACCGGAAACTGATACTCTGTGGTGCGATTTGCGGCAATACAAATTGCACCACAAAGATTAGCATGCAGGCATCCCATGCTGAGCAGAGAGTGAGCATGTGGGGATGTATACTATGGAAGCAGATGGTCCATATTCTCAGAGGTAGGAGAGGAGAGAAAGCGGCGGGAATTTGAAACTACCATCCGCCATTGCAGCTGAAGGCTTGTAGTTGTCAATAAACTACCAGGGCGCTGATGATCTCTCCAGTTAGTTCATTGATGCTTCCTGTCATTTAATAACTGCCTACTCTTACCTCGACAGCTATACTGACAAGATGCAGGAGCCTGAGATTGCACCCACGATCTACTGATGTGCAATCCTTTACAGGCGCCTAAAAAAAATAAATGCACTTTTTTTTTTTACCTGCAAAATGTGTATTTTTTTAAGATGAATTTATCCTTTAAGAAACAGAACAAAAATGTGCCTCTTTAAATCTTGTGGAACATTTCACACCAATGCACTCCGGGTGTGGTGCATCTATAAATCCGTGCATACTGCACTTTTGGTGCATGTTTAAAAAGTGCACCAAAAACACACCTCCCCATTAAAATTAATGGGAAAATGCATCAAAAACACTTCAGTTGCATTTTTTGGTGCATTTTATGAGTTACATGTCCATGCTTCACAGGTGTATGCTGGGAGTCAGACAACCAGAAAGGGCATTAAAAATGCAGTGAAAACACATATGAACTTTTTCCACATTTTTCAGTGAATCTGTGAAAGGGCCCTTAAATTATTTAGCTTTCATGTGTCCCCTTTTTTTCTCATTTTTACTTTGTGCAACTTCATTGTGGCTTGTTGACACTCTGCGTGACTTCATATAACAGATATCAATACATGCGGCAATGAAGTCGCACAAAAATAGTGCAGGAACCTTCTTCGAAGTCGCTGCGACTTGAGTTGCACCGTTTTAAAGGATTCCATCGCCAGTAATGAGGTGTGACTTGTCATGCGACTTTGAACTTTCAAGTTGCATGACAAGTCGCACTGGTGTGAACCAGGGCTTACCAGAACATGTAAAATGCAGAACCAGACAGACAGGTGGATGGATTGGATTTTAATGATTATGTAGCCTGTACAGTTTGCAGAATTGAGTTGCAGTGTATAAGACCCCCAACCTTTAAACCCATTTCTCATTTTCTATTTACAGACTGTACAGTTAATTCTGGGGGGAGCACCTTATAGCGGACATGCAGAACATAACCATCAGCCAATATGCTTGCAATGACCAGGTGGCTGTTTCTGTAATGTGGACAGCTAGTCCTACTGGTAAGTTAAAAAGACTGAGGTGAGGTGGTCCATGATGTTTCTTCTGCAATTTGTGCTGAATGTAAGAAGGGTCACAGTTAGTTTCATATTTAATTTTCTACTAATGATTTCAATTATGGCTGGGCACCATGTGACTTAAAGCCCAACGTTCAGCAGTTTTGTTTGTTTTTTAAATAGTCTCCCAGCAGGGGTTTGAAAGAAAAAATCAGCTCTGGATGCAATGCATATTTCCTCTCTGGGGCTGCCACCAGCAATATTTCAGTTTTTCCACTACGTTTCTTCAGTCCTCTGGGTCAAATGATGCCCAACGACTGGGGACATACTGTGAGTGCAGTATAAGAACACAGGGAGTGGTGCTAACTCTTCATCAGAGAACCTCCCTCACCAGGAGGACAACTGAAGGTCACCTTGCATATTGCATAACTGGCCTGAAGACATTTGGGAAAGGGTAAGAATGAAAATCGCAAAAAAGACAACGGTGGGCCTCTAGAGAGGAGTGCAAGTGATGGGGTTCTCCAAAGGGAAGGGGGTGCCTGGGAGGAAGGTGGGAGGGCTGAGAGACTGGAGTTGGGCTTTAAATACTTAGCTGAATCACTGATTTGTCAGTAGCAGACTCTACTGTTGGTGCAAATTCATGCACATTTAGTTGGTTCCAGTCTGGATTGGTTTCTCACTGTTGGAGCTCTTTCACATGGGCAGTAAAAATAGATGTCCACCCAAATGTTAACATTACAGCCTATCAGGGCTGTACACGTGCTGTGGCTGCAGCCACAACATTTTTAATTTGGGTTGCAGAGTTTGACAGGAGGAACCTGCTGCCTCTTTAGGAACAGGAAGAGAATGAGCTTCTCCTGTTGTGCACGTCCGGTCTCTGGTCACAAAGCACAGCCACTAATAAAGTAAAACATTTCTGTTACTACATATTTGGACCTACAACACTACAAAAAACTTAGCAAGCTTCTAGTCTTATCTTTTTCCTGGCCACCAGAATGTGTTTACTGCAGTGCCATTTAAAAACAGGTACTCCTGAAGAAGTACACATCCACCACCTCTTCCATTTTTTTTTTTTTACAATATGGTAGTATAGAGGTGGCTAAATTGTATTCACTTTGGGTGACTGTCACCAGATGAACATTGAATTCCAAATGTAACCAAATATGAGACCCTTTATATGCACTCGGTGACACACTAACAACAGACATTGGTAATATATTCCTTTTTTCACCATTTAAAAACAGGTACTCCTGAAGAAATATAGATCCAACTCCCCATTTTTTTATTTTTGTTACAATATGGCAGTATAGAGGTGGTTAAATTTTATTCATTTTGGGTGACAGTCACCAGATTAACATTGAATTCCAAATGTAACCAAATATGAGACCCTTTATATGCACTCAGTGACACGAACAACAGACATTGGTAATATATTCCTTTTTATTAAAACACACAATTTTTTTTTACATTATTGTTTTAAATTCCACCTCATCCAATGGGGACATCATGTTACACACATAAAACATCTGTCTCATAACGAGAACTACATGTAGTTTCCATTTATTGTTCGAAATTATAAGCTCTGGTGGCTACTAACAGGCTCTGTAAAATTTTTATGAAATATTGAGGTTCTGGAAGAAAAAACATTTCATATTTTTTTGTTTCATTGGGTTGTGAATTTCAGAAAGTGAAGTGTAGTTTCTGCGTTACATGAATTAATAACTACAGCCATCTTGCTGGCTAAACCATTATTCAACAGAACAAAGCTTGTCAGGTTATTAAAATAAATGTAAACTCAATCAATAAAGTTACACATAATTTCAAAACTAGTTGTCAGTCTTTTAATTTTGCAGAAAATGCCGTCTGTGGCTCTACATGCATAACCGTTGGCACTTATGATTTTACACATACATGTGTGAGCATAGTTTTCAAAACGTATTCTGCATTACATGTCAATTGGCTGAACTACACTACAGCAGTGGCTCCTAGGCCCCAGAGCAACAGGTGGATTTTACTCTGTATTCGTATGCCCTTATGTATGACTGTGTGCAAGAGTCCTAAATCTGCATCTGTTTATAAAATAATATCTGGTGACCTTGCCTTGTAGGTACTTTGTTCAGGCACTTCCTGTTAGAGGATGACAACACTCTGTCCTTATCTCTAAACTAGATCATGCATTGTTACCCTCTCTCCCAATGGTGACTGCAAGTGATTTTGCTGATGCATAATGCACAGGCATTAATCACTGGTGTCACCATCAGGAATCCCATCCTGAGAAATTATATTCAACAGTTGCTGGAGCACATGCATGTAGACATTTAGCGGAAGATTCACTAAAACTGGTGCACACAGTCTCTCGTGCAGCTGTGCACAGTAACCAATCAACTTCTAACTTCAGCTTGTTCAATTAAGCTTTGGAAATAAAACCTGGAAGTTGATTGGTTACTGTGTAAATCTGCACCAGATTCAATGTGCACCAGTTTTAGTAAATCCCCCCCCAACCCCAAAGTGGTGTGACATATGTGGTTACACAGCACTTTCACAAACTAAATGTTAGCCAGTTAGGGTTTACATTACTTTAACCCCTTCTCTCGGTGAAGGGGAGCAGGTTAAAGTTCAACTAAATACATCAATTTAACAGTTCTCCCAAAACGGTTACCTTAAAGGCATGCTATGAATTATAACTGCCACATTTGCGTGTGGTCTCAGTCGAACCACATCAAATGGCTGGTGTCATAACTGATCACATGTGCAGGACCAAGACAACTACAGATCAAACTGAAAAATAAATTTTTTTTAATTTACAATAATGTTACCTTCTAAGTAACAGGTTTATACTTACCTGCTCTGTGTAATGGAATTTACACATAGCGGACCAAACCTCCTCTTCTTGGGTCCCCCACCGGTGCCACTTTCTGTTGTGGCACACCTGCGGACTTGATCCTGAGCCGCGCTACCTGCCTCAATAGACACAGACAGTACAGCTCAGCCCCACCCCCACTACCTCGTCACAGGATTTGTCTGATAGCAGCGGAAGTCAATGGTTCCCGCTGCCTCAATGAAGCCTGTGAGAATGGGAAGTGAAAGGAGTGAGCCACTGCAGAAAGGCACAGCACTCAATCAAGTGAGGACTCGGGTAAGTATGAGGTACGTGAGGGGGTGATACGTTTTACCTGAACATTTTTTACCTTAATGCAAGGAATGCATTAATATTAACAATGTGTAGGTTTTAAAACCAGTTTAAGAAGGCAGCTTATTTGCCTGTAAAGGATAGAAGGCATTAGTTCTGCTTTAAGCTGAGATGCTGAGAGAATTGATTTGAATGATTTTAGTGCTTATGCTGTGAACTTTGAGAACAAATTGCTTCACAATGCTTGCGGCTACAAAGGTAAGTAAGGACTTAAAAAAACGCATAAATACTTGTTCATTGGCTAGCCATGTGTTCATCTTTAGCTATTTGTTATTAATTTATTTATTGATAACTGGAAAATAAAACAAACTTATCAGTTGTATAGCAGTAAAAGAAAAAAAACAACACCATAATACAAAGGAGGATTAGGAAATTCTGTGGCTTTTGTGTTATTGCAGAACTACAAGTCCCAGCCTGCCCTGGCTGCCAGAAACGTACATACTCTGGTAGAGGATCGGATCCTGGCTTTCAAGGTCTGCCTAGTAAAACAAATAGGCCTTTTCTTCTGTCGGCAGTGAAGAGCCAAACTCGAATTGTTGACTTTTCTCCAAAACACACAGCACAATCTTTACCTTGAGAACACAATTCTGTGTATTACTGAGACCTGCCCATAGCAATGTATGTCTCTGTGTCATTGTTCATTGTGCATGGAGGGGGGTACATTACCGTAATGCAACCTAAAAGACAAAATTTATGAAGTGTCAAAACTCTTGCCAAGATCACGGATTGTCTTCATTTAGCCCAAGGACACTAAACAGTCACAGCGCTGGCAAGCCTCTGTGTTTTTTGGTTTTCGATAGTGGCTTCATCCCTAACAACTGTATACACATGTCTTTAAAATGTGGGAGAAGGTGTAAATTATTTTTTTTTCTTCAATGTGTGTGTGTGTTGTATTTTCCAGGCATCGAGTATCTGAAAGGTTTTCGCATTATTCTGGAAGAACTGAAATCTGAGGGGCGGATGTGTCAGCAGATGGTGCTCAAGGACCCCAAGCAGCTGAATTCCAGCTTTAAAAAAGTTGTACGTTCTGTAAAACCAATTTATGCTATTTGATGTTTTTAAATTATCTTTATAGCTTAATGTTTTCAGGGATACTCCAATAAAACATACATTAATATACCGTATATATCACATATTTCAACAGAAGGATATTAACAACGTCCAGTTGAAGTCCTACTTTTTATACTTTCTACACACTCAGGTTGCATAAAAAGAATATACCTTTTTGGATGTGTTTGTGATTGAAACAGTAAGACAGCTGCCCTCTACCAGCACATTGGAAAGCCAGTCCTCTGCTCTCACAGAGTGCAGTTTGGATCTCCAGTGGTCCAACATGACCCCTCCACAGTACTCCACTCAACAAAGCTCATGCTCCCTGAGCAGCATGGTTGATTGGAGCACTGAACAGGGGGTGTGATGAAATGTGGAAGACTGCAGTTAGGCTCTAGTGTGCTCCCAGCCCAGGGCCTTACATTTTTATTCATGAACACTTAATAAAAGTTAAATATTCCATATTTTTCTTGTTTGAAAGCCTGACTGTATACCAAGTATAAAAAGCAAGCTTTCAACTGGGCTTTAAGGCACAAATGATTTTTGGTATATATGTAGCCCAAAACAATAAAAATAGTACAACTCGAATGTCCCTCTAAACCTGTGTCAGTCAGATCAGCATGTGAAAAGACTGGTGCAATACAGAAAGAATTGGCTTGTCAGGCTCCAGTAGACTTCCACACGGACTCCCTGTTGCATAAATGTAATAAGATAGGTAAAAGGTGGCTTCAGCTCCTATTCTCCACCTGTAGAGAAATCATGAGACACGTTTTGCCTTTTTTGGGGCTTAATCATAGATGCCCCGAAAAAGGGCAAAACTCGTGTTAGAATTCTCTACATGTGGAGAACAGGAGCGGAAGCCATCTTTTACCCATCTCATTACATTTATGCAACAGGGGGTCGGTGTCTGTGTGCAGACGGCCACCATTTTCTTGAAGGCTACTGGATTCTGATTTTTTGGTATAGTTATTCTTTTAATTACTCCAGCAACTTCCTAAGTCTCATACTCAACAGTCTCCGCTCCTCTGAGATCTTCATCGTACTACCTGCTGGGAGATGCACCTCCGCTGTTTCAGCAGTCTCTCTTCTGGGTTCTGCTATTTCCAATCATGCCTATAGAGAAGTTCTCCTCTGCTGGGATGCCATATAAATGGGCTTGTCATAGGAAGGAATGGAGATCCTTCCTTGCACCTATGCACTGAGCAGAATCTAGCCAGGAATGGTTTTGTTGAGGTGGATGTGTGGCTCTCAGTACGTTGCACAGCTAAGTTCTTGGAGGAGTGAGGATGGGTAAGTATGAGACTTGGGGAAAGGGCTCATTTAAAGGATACCTGTACAACAAGTACAGTTAAACTATTAAATTCCTTGAGTGAACGTGTGGGGGGGGATACACCTTCTCTCTTTGTTCTGGTGACCATTATCACCAGAATAGAAAGTAATGGAAATTTCAATATTTTATGGTTGTCACTGAAAAAGTAGGTGCTCTTCCAATGGAGAAATATGTACTTGTGACAACTGTCTTCAAAGGGAATTTCTTCTCTTGGATTTCCACTCACTTCCTTTAGTGTCTTTGGGAACGTGTATGGAAGTCCAATGTGATAAGACAGAAAAAATAAAAACATGACAGTAATTTAACCATGCCTGCAATTTCCAAAATAAGCACAAACAAAATGGCCATAGATGCACTTCCAAACCAAAATATGTGACTTTTCTCATTAGATTCACAATTCTACTATTTGCAGGTTATGGAGACCCAGCCGTTCATGAACCTGAAGTTTGAAACTGATTACTTTGTGAAAATTGTCCCGTTTCCTTCAATAAAAAACGAAAGCAACTATCATCCATTTTTCTTCAGAACCCGCAGTAAGTGTTGACCTTAATGATGTTCTAACATTACAGTTCTACAGAGACTATATATGTGGTCCAGGTTTTCTCTGTGTGTGGTATATTATGTGATGAATGGAGCATTTTGTGTAATGTTCGTTTAGTTTTATTTTTGTGAAAACGAAAATGTCCTTGCGTTTTACGCCAACTCAGAATGTCTTTTATCCCTGGTTCACACTGATGCGGTGCGGAATTCGCAGCGGTTTCAGTGCGAATTCTGCACCGCATCAGAATCGCACCCCGTTCATGTGAACCGCTGCAAGTGTGTATGTTAAGTTAACAACACCCCTAAAGCGGTCCGCAAAACGCGGTGCGATGTGCAGAATCAGATCGCATAGGTGATCCGATTCTAGTGTGGACCCAAAAAAGGGTCCCACCTGTATTTAGTGTGGATGCGGTGTGAATAGAGCCATACAAAATGCATGGCTCCAATCACACCGCACACAAATCGCATGTGATTTGCACAGGAATGCGGTGCTGTTCCTGTGCGAATCACATGTGATATACCGCACCGCACATATGTGAACCCAGGCTTAATGACTGGTGTACACAGTCTGAGAGCACCAAATCAAGATGTCCAAAATCTTTTATTATTATTATTATTAGTGTTTTGGGAACACCGACACTCCCCCATTCATCAGGGCTTGAAATTTGCTGAACTTGAAGTAAAAGGACTCAGTTTAAGTAAGTTAGTGAAGATGACAATTTGGAACAGTGGTTTTGCGGCTAATTCAAGCAGTACTCCCTGTTGTGCTTGATTGGACAGAAGCAGGCATGATTAGAAACAAAGGAGCAAGCAATTTACTTGTTTTTATAATCAGGATAAAAATAAATATTTAAAAATATCAAAACTTTTTTTTTTTTTGATTAGAGTTGTAAAGATCTAAAATTCCTGTCTGTGACTAGTTTGAGGTGATTTGATCTTACTTCCTGTCCATGTGAAAAATAAAGAAGAAAGAGACAGGTGTGGTTTGTCAAAGGGGCAGGAAGGCACTGACCGCAATAAAAATAATGCCGGGTGTTTTACTCATTTCTCACTCTACTTAGAGATTTTGAAGCCAGTAAAAGCCTGACCCACTCATTGCTCTCTCACCTATGTTATATCCTAAAACGATTAAATATTAACTAAACCAAAGAACAAAAAATGTAATATATTGCAGCTTACTATTCTTTAAATGTGGTGGCTGCGTTAGTTTTAATTTTTCATTCTAAAAAAATATTTTTAGAAAGTACAGAAACTCCATGTTGTCTGGCTTGTGCAAACTGCTAATCCTTTCACCTCACATGTAATGGAGATGAACAAAGTCAGGCATGTTCCAGTTTCAGCCTGAGTGGCTAGAATAGCTCCCTCCAATAATACAGTGGAGAATTAAGCCCTATCACCCAGTAACAGGAAGTGTATTGCATCCCTGTCATCTAAGGACTGGTAAGATGCTATGTGTTGCATTTGTGTTTTCGAGTTTCGCTAAACTTAAACTGATTAAGGTCAGAGCAATGCCTAATTCTTTGTCAGATTGCTCTGTCTCATGTTCTATCAAGGGACAGCTGGGTCTGCAAGAGAACAACTTTGGCTTTCTCAGCTAACCTGCAGTGCTCTGGGAATCCTTTGTCAAGTACAAAATACTTATTTGTAAAACAAAGATTATGCACTGTTATGATAGGTAGGGTGTGTGAATAGCCTGGCCATATTTGTCTTGTTCATCTGTGAATTTAGTTGTTTTTGTGGAGTTCGACATTCAGCTGATCTGCATTGCTTACTTAGTCTAGATCGTTTTCTTCACTTGTCAGTTACTTTTGTGAGACATTTTCCAGTGTAAATGCCTTTAGAAGCTTTAAGCCTCTCTCCTATATTTGGCTGTTGCAGGATACCTCAGTGTAAACAGCTGTAAATTGAATCATATGTACTATGTTATATAAATCTGTTGATAGAACTCTGGAAACAAGTCTGGAGAAGGATTGCTGGGGGAGCTGAATACAGTAGTCCAGAAGCCACACTTTTATTTCCCTCTCCCCACACTTGTGTCAAGCCACAACAATTATGACAGGACCAACTGAGTATGTCCCAGAAAGCCTAAAGCATCAGCCTGCTTAGAGTTCTTCATCCTGGCTGCATTCCAGTCCGATAGCTCATGTTTTCCACAAGTAGACAGATGAGGTTGCCAGGTTCCTTTGCGCTGATCTTCTGGTCTTAAGAACTTATTGTTTCAAGATTTCACAACCCAGTTCACCTTAATTCAATGGGTATTGTATTGATGTTCACTTCAACATATGTAACATTCAATACACAGTGTCGTTCATTGTCATTAATGTTTCCATTTTAGGGCAAGGACACCCTTATGTGCCTGGGGTGACTACATTGTGAACACACACCGGGAAATGCCTGGGTACATTACTTTAGTTTAAAGCTGAACCTCCAGGCCGACAAATAAATACATAAATACATACAACGATCAGCTATAAAACATTATGACCACCCACCATAACATTGACTACCTACCTAATGTTGTCTAGGACCCGCTTTTGCTACCAAAGCAGCCCTGACCAGTTGAGGCATGTAATCCATTAGATCTCTGAAGGTATGATGTGGTATCCGGCACCAAGCCATCAGTAGCAGATCATTTAAGTCTTGTAAGTTGTGAGGTTGTGCTTCCATGGATCAGACTTCCCACAGTGCATTTATTGACCAGGCCACCACCTTCCATTGCTCAGCGGTCCAGTTCTGATGCTCACGTGCCAATTGTAGGAGCTTTTGGCTATGGACACTGGTCAGCACGGTTACTCTGACCGGTCTGTGGCTATGCAGCCCAATAACCTACAAACTTTAAAGCGCTGAGTGTGTGCTGGAACCAGCATGGACTTTTTCAGCAGTTTTAAATACAGTATCTCTTCTATTGCATCAGACTACATGGCCCAGCCTTCACTCCCCACGTGCATCAGCAAGCCTTGGCAACCTATGACCCTGTCAACCTGCGCCATTTTTCCTTCCTTAGATCACTTTTTTTTTGGGTCATAATCACAGACTAGGAACATCCCCCAAGAGCTGCAAATTTTGGGATACTCTGACCCAGTTCTCTAGCCATTACAATTTGTCCCTTGTCAAAGTCCTTTACATCCTTATGCTTGCCCATTTTATTCTGATGTTAACACATCAAATTTAGAGACAAATTTTCCCTTGCTGCCTAATATATCCCACCATTTTTCAGGTGCCATTGTAACAAGATAATCAATGTAATTCACTTTACCTGTCAGTGGTCATAATTTTATGGCTGGTTGATGTATTTGGGATCTATTTTACCTGCCAAAGGGGTTGTATATCTCATTACCTTGTCCTGAGCATTTTGGTGGCCATACACTGTGTGATATCACTGAGCGATTGATCCAGTTAGAATATGTTTGGAAAATAGGAAAAAAAATACAATGACCTGCCTGTCTTTAGGACAGTCAAGACAAGACTTGAGAACTGAGGAAGTATGTGAAGATTTCCCTTCAATTCCTGTTGTCATAATGATGTCACAGTTCCAGGATGTGTGGGGAAATTTTCAATGGGAACTCAAACGGCAATAAAAAATTTGAGTTTTTAGCCATCCCCCACCCTGCGAACAAAAGTTTTTTTTTTTTCATTTTAATTGTTCCTTTGTTAGAAAAATTTTCCCTCACTTCCTGTCCTGGTAACGAGACAGGAAGTAAGGAAAAATATCCCAAACAAGACCTGTAAAGTAGATGTAAAGACATTAGTGTATAAAACCAGGGTGTGCTCTGTAAACAACACAATATGAAAACCCTCCAAACTTGCTTTTGTACATCTCCTTTACTGCGCTCCCAGGGTGGGGGGCTCCACAAGATCAGGTGTTGTCAATCAACCTGGGTATGAGGTGTGTCAGCTTGTGATGTCTCAAGCTGATTATAGGAATGCCATGCTTCAGCCAAGCGTTCTATAGGTCCCATTAGAGGAAGCAGGAATGCAGACTCACCACGTATTCACAGATTGGCTTCTGTGCATAGCATGGTAAGGAAGTGCCACATATTATTAGGGACTGGCAGGATCATCAGGTATTTATGGCTCTTCAACTTCCTACATAAATAACAGTAGCCGGTATGTGGACTCTGAGGGATAGTACAGCTTTGTCCCAAGTTTTGAAAAAAAAAAAGAAATGGATAGAGTCCCAACCACTTCCTACTCTATTGAAAACTTTAAAAACAAGTGGAGATACATTTTAAACTAAAATATAAGTTGAGAATTCTGGCTGGTTTCATAACTAGCTGGGGAAGTGTATGGGTTCATTTTGTATAAGATGTAGTGTATGGACCAGCTCCACAGAAAACAGCATAGCATACATTTGCCAGATGCTGCAGCCAATACGGCAAATCCTATTCTTGAGTTATGAAGGAGTTTGTTGAGCACTAAAAACTTTTAATTGCCAAATATTCATCGTGATTTTACACTGACTTTTTTTTTTTTTTTAATTCTAGCATGCGAGACATTACTGCAGCCAGAAAACTTAACCTGCAGGCCATGTAAGTAATCTCTGTCACCTAAAACTGGACACTGACCTATTCATTTTACATCTGATGTGTTATTGATTGGAGGGCAAAAATTATTATTCAAGACCTCACTAATGCAGTGGTTTTGGTGACAAAACATGATCAGAAGTAAGCTATCCATTTGGCATTGAAATGACAAAAATAGTCAAATCTGTTCAAATGACAGTTTGACTAAAACAGTGTCTCAAATGATCACTCATGCAGAACAATTGAAATTGATATTAATCTTTTATCACAGTTTATTGAAAAACAAATTCTCAATTCAGTGTTCTACAAGCATTTAAAAACAACTGAAATGGTGGAATAAGAGTATTTGCTAGAAAAAACTGCAATATTGAAACTATTGTTCAAATTACTGGATTAACACATGTATGGTCATTAAGTAGACCATCTGTTATCAGTCTCCCTGTCTCCATTTCTCTGCGAATTGGTTCTTACAGAAGACAGTGTCGTAAGATAATTAGGCACTCTATACAGCCATATAGCATTGATGGATGCTTCTTTAAAGGATAAGTTCACCTTCAGGAACATGTTCTATGTTCCACAAATTTTTATGGTGTAACATGTTTCCACTCCTGCAGAAGCTTGATCTGAGTCCTCTGTTTGACAGCAGTATGGGGAGAGGTTCCCAATACAAGCTGTCACTTTTTAAAGACAGTGCGGCCAGAGTTCTGTGAATGAATCAGCTACAAGTGCCAACATCCTTTTTGGCTGTCAGCTTGTAGTTTTCAATGAATTACCATTGTGCTGTTGAGCGCTCTGGTAGTTCATTGATTCTTCCTGTCAGTGTGAAACTGCCTGCCTGTAAATCGACAGCTCACACTGACAGGTCTGCAGGAGTCCTGCTTGGCACCAGCAATCTACTGATCACTGGTGCAATGCTTTCCAGCCAATGCTTTTCAAAACAAAACACACACACACACACATATATACACACATATATATATAGTATATATATATATATATATATATATATATATATATATATATATATATGAGTTGACCCGCCCTTTGCAGCTATAACAGCTTCAGCTCTTCTGGGACGGCTGTCCAGAAGGTTTAGGATTGTGTCTATGGGAATGTTTGACCATTCTTCCAGAAGCGCATTTGTGAGGTCAGGCACTGATGTTGGACGAGAAGGCCTGTCTCCGCTCTAATTCATCCCAAAGTTGTTCGGTGGGGTTGATGTCAGGACTTTGTGCAGGCCAATCAAGTTCCTCCACCCCAAACTCACTCATCCATGTCTTCATGGACCTTGCTTTGTGCACTGGTGCACAGTCATGTTGGAACAGGAAGGGGCCATCCCCCAAACTGTTCCCACAAAGTTGGGAGCATGAAATTGTCCAAAATATCTTGGTATGCTGACGCCTTAAGAGTTCCCAGCAGTGGAACTAAGTGTCCAAGCCCAACCCTGAAAAGCAAACCCCACACCATAATCCCCCCTCCACCAAACTCTACACTTGGCACAATGCAGTCAGGCAAGTGCCATTCTCCTGGCAACCGCCAAACCCAGACACGTCCATCAGATTGCCAGACAGAGAAGCGTGATTTGTCACTTTAGAGAACACATCCCCACTGCTCTAGAGTTCAGTGGCAGCGAGCTTTACACCACTGCATCTGACGCTTTGCATTGCACTTGGTGATGTTAGGCTTGGCTGCAGCTGCTCGGCCATGAAAACCCATTCCATAAAGCTCTCTATGCACTGTTGTTGTGCTAATCTGAAGGCCACACAAAGTTTGGAGGTCTTTAGCTATTGACTCTGCAGACAGTTGTCATCTTCTGCACACTGTGCACTTCAGCATGCGCTGACCCTGCTCTGTCATTTTACGTGGCCTACCATTTGGTGGATGAGTTGCTGTTGTTCCCAGTTACTTCCACTTTGTTATAATACCACTAACAGTTGGCCGTGGAATATTTAGTAGCAAGGAAACTTCACCGATGGACTTATTGCACAGATGGCAACCTATTATGGTACCACGCTAGAATTCACTGAGCTCCTGAGAGCGACCCATTCTTTCACAAATGTTTTTATTTTATACACCCGTGGCCATGGAGGTGATTGGAACACTTGAATCCAATGATTTGGAGGGCTGGCCCAATATGTCTGCAATATGGTGTATATACATTTTATCTGCAAAAAATGTGCATTTTTTTTTTTAAAAAGGTAAACTTATCCTTTAATTCTCATCTGAGAGCTTTGGCCTGCATCTTTTTCTCAGTTCATTGGGTGGCCCTTTAGAAGTCTATGTGTATTTTCAATTGCTGGCAATGTAAGGTCCGCACTTCTGTGTGGGCATGAAAGTGAGTGGTATTTAGATGTTGCACTTGCCTCCATTTGTGAAGGCCATTCTTGGTGGATGTTGGTGGGCTGACTCACCAGCTGGCCTCTTTATTTATTAGAACCTCCTATGTTATATCTATGTTCCTAGATTGTAAGCTCTAACAAGCAGGGCCCTCTGTGTTTCCTCTTGTACCAAATTGTATTGTAACTGTAATGTCTACCTTCATTTTGTACAGTGCTGTGCAAACTATTTGCGCTATATAAATCCTGAATAATAATAATATCTTGCCACCAAATTCACAGCAAACAAAAAATTTGGGGATACATATGTTTAGCTATCATGTATCTATCTTATGATCTTGTACTATATTATCTCCATTTTGCCCACAGATTCTTTGACCCATCTTTTACTTTTTCTTAATCCCATGCAGATTGGAAACCAAAGAATGTGAATGTCACTCAGCAAGGTGTCAACATGCAGGTGTCATTTGACCATGCCCCTTATAACTTTGGGTTTAACGCCTACTATGTCAACTATAGAATGAAGCACGATGCTTCCTTTAAACAGAAGGTCTGCAGACAGGTACGGCTAATAATTGTACAATATTTTGAGCAGGCATGTATATATGTGTTTTGTTTCCTTCAGATTGTAAAGTGGCATAGGATCATTACAGTTTCTCTCAATATAGAACAACATAATTTTTAAAAGAAAAACTTAGTCTAGGCTGGGATGATGTCATCAGTTTGCTGCAGGCAGGAGGAAACATTTCTTCAATCTACTCTTCCCCTGTGATTAGACTATACATTGTAACTTTGTACCAAGTCACAAGGTGAGAGGCTGCATCAGGGGCTGGTTTGTGTCAGACATTTGCGGTTGCAACCAACTGCACAGGCACCAGAATACTTGAATGTATCGAGGCAACATCTCCATCTAGGATGCAGACACTAGTTTTATATAAACCTGAACAAAGATGAAGGTGTTGCCAGTACTGCAATGTTTATGAGAAGTAATAAATATCTGTGAATTTTTTCACTTATACATAATTTAGCTTGAACACATGAAACAAAAGATATACAGTATCTGTGCTACATTGCTCTCCCTCCACTTCCTGACTCCCTCTTCACCTCTTTCTCTTCTTTCTCTCTTTTGTTTCCTCCTTCTCTTGTTTCACAAATTGGCAACATCAAGTTCTAAGGTCCCGCTATGGAAAACACTGAGGCCCCTTGGAAAAGGTTACTGTCTTAGAACTTGTAAAAGTTGTATTGTTTTTGCTGATCGACAAATGTATTCCACATAAGACATCGGCACGTAGGCGCGTGAGGCCTTGTACTGTACATTTTGGGTTTATTTCCATTGCAGCGTACAGTTGCTCATAATGACTGACTGTACAGTGGGGATCGAAAGTTTGGGCACCCCAGCTAAAAATTTGTATTAATGTGCATAAAGAAGCCAAGGAAAGATGGAAAAATCTCCAAAAGGCATCAAATTACAGATTAGACATTCTTATAATATGTCAACAAAAGTTAGATTTTATTTCCATCATTTACACTTTCAAAATAACAGAAAACAAAAAAATGGCGTCTGCAAAAGTTTGGACACCCTGCAGAATTTATAGCATGCACTGCCCCCTTTGCAAAGCTGAGACATGCCAGTGTCATGGATTGTTCTCAATCATCGTGGAAGACCAGGTGATGTCAATCTCAAGGTTTTAAAATGCCCAGACTCATCTGACCTTGCCCCAACGATCAGCACCATGGGTTCTTCTAAGCAGTTGTCTAGAAAACTGAAACTGAAAATAGCTGACGCTCACAAAGCTGGAGAAGGCTATAAGAAGATAGCAAAGCGTTTTCAGATGTCAATATCCTCTGTTCGGAATGTAATTAAGAAATGGCAGTCATCAGGAACAGTGGAAGTTAAAGCAAGATCTGGAAGACCAAGAAAAATATCAGACAGAACAGCTCGCAGGATTGTGAGAAAAACAATTCAAAACCCACGCTTGACTACACGATCCCTCCAGAAAGATCTGGCAGACACTGGAGTTGTGGTACACTATTCCACTATAAAGAGATACTTGTACAAATATGGTCTTCATGGAAGAGTCATCAGAAGAAAACCTCTTCTACGTCCTCACCACAAAAATCATCATTTGAACTTTGCAAATGAACATAGACAAGCCTGATGCATTTTGGAAACAAGTTCTGTGGACCGATGAGGTTAAAATTGAACTTTTTGGCCGGAATGAGCAAAGGTACGTTTGGAGAAGAAGGGGCACAGAATTTAATGAAAAGAACCTCTGTCCAACTGTTAAGCATGGGGTTGGATCAATCATGCTTTGGGGTTGTATTGCAGCCAGTGGCACAGGGAACATCTCACGAGTAGAAGGAAAAATGGATTCAATAAAATTTCAGCAAATTTTGGATGGTAACTTGATGCCATCTGTGAAAAAGCTGAAGTTAAAGAGAGGATGGCTTCTACAAATGGATAATGATCCTAAACACACCTCAAAATTCATGGGGGATTACATCAAGAGGCGTAAACTGAAGGTTTTGCCATGGCCTTCACAATCTCCTGACCTCAACATAATTGAAAATCTATGGATAGACCTTAAAAGAGCAGTGCGTGACAGACAGCCCAGAAATCTCAAAGAACTGGAAGACTTTTGTAAGGAAGAATGGGCAAAGATACCTCAAACAAGAATTGAAAGACTCTTGGCTGGCTACAAAAAGCGTTTACAAGCTGCGATACTTGCCAAAGGGGGCAGTACAAGATATTAACTCTGCAGGGTGCCCAAACTTTTGCAGACGCCATTTTTTTGTTTTCTGTTATTTTGAAAGTGTAAATGATGGAAATAAAATCTAACTTTTGTTGACATATTATAAGAATGTCTAATCTGTAATTTGATGCCATTTGGAGATTTTTCCATCTTTCCTTGGCTTCTTTATGCACATTAATACAAATTTTTAGCTGGGGTGCCCAAACTTTCGATCCCCACTGTATGCAGGTACACGCCATGCTAGCATTCATATGTTTACCCCGTGCACGTGTTTATTCAAGCATGTTTCCTGCATACAGCCATGCATTGTACCCAGGGGCGGACTGACAACTCATGGGGCCCCCGGGCAACAGGGTATCATGGGGCCCCTGTGTCCTTGCCCAAACTAAACATAGCCTATGAAAAAAAGGTACCAGGGGCATCTCATGGGGCCCCCTACTGACCCCGGGCCCTCGGGTAGTGCCCGAGTTTCCAAATGGTCAGTCCGCCCCTGATGTACCCATGAATGTTTCCAAGTTGATTGATCGGTCAACTTGGTACAACCAGCCTGTCGGATTTTACATGCAGTTATTGCTAGCCGCTAGTAGTAATACCTGTGTTTTCTCGACTGGGACGGCTCCCCCCCCCCCACTGTGTTGATTGAGGGAATCAAGCGATTTTCTTTCCTGCAACTCTATGGCCAGCTTAACTTCTCTAACCTGTTCCTGACAAAACTAATACAATTTCTGAAGAAGTGAAAATATGACTAAGAAAGATTTTAGAAGCAATATCCTGTTTGAAATTTAAGGAGTATTGAAATTTGCTTACAGAATATTGTGTGCTGTAAATTAGTCAAAAGATAAAATGAAAAAGTGATAGTTAAGATGAGAAAATGTTGAGTGTGTAAGGCCTCTTTCACATGAGGATGGGGAAGGGGGTAAAAACAGGTGGCTGAGCCACAGTTTTACCACACCACAACTGGGATCACGGCGTGCGGTTGCAGTGCATTCATCTCATTATAAACTGCTGTTTGGCAGGAAAGAAAAAACAGGCATTCAGAAGGCAGTAAGATCGTCTCCTGAACGCCTGACAGCGGATGCTTAGCCACACTTTGACAAGCAATCCAGCGCGGATCTCTGTTCAGAGCTGTAGCTGGTGTGAACCTATCCTTTTACTTTTGTAATTGAACACTAATGCAACAAAGGTTGTATTTCTTCTACTTCTAGCCTAGCTCAGAGACAGTTAAATGGACAGAGAGGAAGTGGGTTGGAGTGAAGCGAAGTTCTGGGCTTGGAGCCGAGATTCTTCCTGCCAGAGTTATCATCACCGTCTTGTGTGTGTTGGATCCTGACGCTATTTGCACAGTTAAATGCTCTAAGGCATTGCTAGGACAATTTCCAATCTGCGTCAGAGGCGTAGGAAGCTTACAGGCCCAATTTTAGGCACTGGGGAAGGCAGTATTGAGGAGCCTGGAATTCTTGGCTGGACTGGTCCATAATCTTCTGTCCTCCAAGTTAAAGGCGGAGTGCACAGCATGTGAATATGTTTATGGCCTGCGTCTCTTGTAATAAAACTCCAGTGTTCTTCCTTTCCTCTGTAGCCCTAAGGGATTCTGCTGCTGGTCCAAAAAACTAAGAACTAAGCATGGGATTGGGCCAAAGCTGACAACATTTAGTGGGAGGAGTTTATCTTAATTGATGGATTTTTCCACCAACCACTGTAAAGGTGTTCCCGTCCTTGTGTTTTCCTTGTGTTGCTTTGGTTAATTGCTTTTTTTGACAGAATGGAAATGTAGAAATCGAGCAAATAACACTGATTGATGAATGTGTTTGCTAATGTTTCAGGTTCAGAACTCGGATTATACAAACTGTCTGCTACAGAACGTCTCTCCTGGGGATTATGTCATTGAGGTAAGATTTATTTTTTATTTTATTTCAGGTACTTATATTGCGCCGTCAATTTACGCAGCGCTTTACACATATATATATATATTGTACATTCACATCAGTCCCTAACCCTCAAGGGGCGTACAATCTAAGGTCCCTAACTTACATTCATACACATACTAGGGACAATTTAGACAGGAACCAATTAACCTACCAGCATGTCTTTGGAGTGTGAGAGGAAACCGGAGTACCCGGAGGAAACCCAGGCAGGCACAGGGAGAACATGCAAACTGAATGAGGAAAGAACAAAGAGAGGGCGCACAGGCTTGTGCATTACCATAAAAAATGTTTAATAAGAAATAAAATAGGTGTTCTACTCACAAACGACAATAAAGTCAAGGCACATCATAAAAGAACAGCTGGGTCAACACCACGCTGAGTAACAGTCCGTAATGGGGAATGTAGACATCCAATAGGCTGACGCGTTTCTAGGACTTGCCTCTTCCTCAGTTCCAGGACATTCTTAATGTGGTTGCAGCCTGCATCGAGTCCATCCCCAAGCGCAGGAGCATTTGTGTTTGCTAGAACATGCAAACTCCAGGCAGGTGGTGCCGTGGCTGGGATTCGAACCAACGACCTTAGTACTACCAGGCGGAAGTGCTAACCATTTAGCCACTGTGCTGCCTTGTTTATTTTTGTATCATCACTTTGAGTTTTTATGTGATGGCTTGCAGTATCTAGTAATTAGCACAGTAATAATTAATGCCAAAGACAGATATTGAAACAGAAATGTTATAATTGCATGGTTTGGAAATTGGCACTGTAGTGGAAACCTTGTGTTAAAAAGTTACATATGCATTTGTAGAGCTCTAAAATACTCATGATTTTCAGGACAAGACCGTTATTTGCCCATGTATTTGGTTCAGCAGATAGATTAGAAAGACCTCAATTAGTTCAATCGTTGATGCTTATCAGGGACAGTAAGGCTTGGGGGGGAAAAGGGCTTAGATGATGCCGGATGTCCTGTAGCCACGAAATGAGGCAGGCAGACTGTATCTGACTTGCTGCAGCTTCTAATGCACACTGTAAAAAGCTCATAGTATGTAGTGAAATTAGAGTAAGCAATACTGGAGAGGAGCCTGTACACACAAGGAGGCAAGGCCAGAGTTCAGTTTTAGGCTCGTAAACACATGCCCGCTCACACTGCTGCTCAGAAGAGCCATTTGACTGCCATTTGACAGGCAAGGAAGGGGCGATATGTCCCTTCATCACACCTGGTTTAACCCTCAAAACTCCACACCACTGTTCCACAACCACATGCATTGCACATAGTTGCAGGGCAGTCGCAGTGCGGTCTGATTCACCTGGATTGTTCACTTTCACTGGTTGTATTGCTGGCCTAACGCTTCATGCCATTTAGGCAAACAAGAAGGATGTGGCAGCAGCTGTATGTGTATAGTCCTAAGCGGCTGCATGTGCTTGTTCAGGCATGCAGTTGTGGAGGGGGCAGTAAAACCATGATTCAACCACCTGACTTTACCACCCCCTGGCTGCTCAATTGAAGAAGCCCTTAAAGCCCAACTCCACCTTCCAAAAGTCAAATTTTTTTTGGCAGATGGTTTAGGGTTGGGCTTTAAATCTGTCATAAATAAAACAAAAAAAAAAAAGACAATCTATGAATAAAATTTGAAATTCTCACTCCACTTTGTATATGAAAAATTACCTGTGCAGTGGTCTGGTTACAGGAGCCCTGCTCCACCTACTGCATGTTGTCAGTTGCAGCTCAATTTGTCTTGTCAATCTAATAGTTCAGCCCACATGTCAGATCTACTGATTATACAAAGCGTATCGGAGCAATCATCTTCCTTCACAGCCCTGGCGGCACACAGACCTTGGTATGTCTGGTATCTTAGGAGCCTTGGAAGCTAAACCAGGAAAGAAGCTCATGTGTTGTGAGGCCACCCAAATGTGGGATCTTCAGAACACACTGTACAGAGAATGCAGAATACATTAAGACCAGCCAGTGACATTAGCATCTCTCCTATGTTATTATACTGTATAAGAAAGTAGCCAAAACTGTACTCCAGGACAAGCAGATATAGTCTGAATACAAGAGCCATTCTTGTTGAATCTTGGTGTGCTTTGTGTATTTTTTCCTGGTCTGTGAAGTAATCCAGTGTGAAATCCTCTGTGCAGGAGCTTCCTGTAATAAAGACCAGTCTCTGCTGCTCTCTCTCCTTGTGCAGGATGACTGGTCTTGCCTCCGCCCCTCAGTAGTTTCCTGTAGGCAACCTGTAGTGGGTGAGTCTGCTGGGTTCCTCCCACAGCTCTGTTCAGGCTATGTGCAGTGCTTAGGTCACTGATCATTTTACAGAGTAATATCTGAGTTTGCAAGGGGATTTGGTGCACACCATGTGGATTTATATAGTTTATGCATGTGGGCATGTTTATATTTAAAAATTGTATTTCTTGGTATTCAGTAGTGGTGGGGAATACAAATCTTTCAATTTCAAGGCTACTAACATGGTATCTTCCAGACTATTCATAGGCCTTATCCAAACGCTGTGCTCTGGACTATAACACCAAAAACATAGAAATAGAATTTAAACAATGCCTGTCTCCCTGTGCTATATATTCTTCTGTTCCCATTTCCATTCATGTAACATTTCCTTTTATCTCCACAGCTTCTTGATGACACTAACACAACCAGACGCTCCATGCATTATTCACTCAAACCAGGCAAGTACTTGATAGTTTTGGCAGCTGATAAACAACAGGCCATAATAGCCAATAGGATCTGTTTCTTTTTGCATCTATTTTAATAGAAAGCCAATAAATACAAACCTTTTCTCCCCCTTAGTGCATTCTCCTTGGGCTGGACCAATCCGTGCCATTGCCATTACCGTTCCTTTAGTCATTATTTCAGCCTTTGCAACACTGTTTACTGTTATGTGCCGGAAAAAGCAACAAGGTGAGTCCTTTTTTAAATTAAATAAAAATGTGTTTTTGGAACAAAATTAAAGAAGTTCCTCAGTGTCCACCTCCAAACAAATTAAAAGTTAGCAGCTACAAATACTGTAGTTGCTGACTTCTAATATAAGGACACTTAACTGTGATTGCCCAGCATCTCCGACAGGGGGAAACTGTTTGTAAACAAAACCGTTCTCTCCCCTGTCAGCTCCTGCACACTACTTTGTATGGCTCTGCATAGCACAGCAATGCAAAGCAGTGTGCTTACAGTGAAGCACAAACACAGCCCACAGTTATAAACAGCACACAGTTAACCATTTGATCACCCCACATGTTAACCCCTTCCTGCCAGTGCCATTTATTCAGTGTCAGTGCTTTTTGTTAGCACTGATCACTGTACTGGAGTCACTGGGGATGTCATTGACACCAAGTCAGTTCCCCCTAGTGTCAGAATGCCTGCCGCAGTCCCGCTATAAGTCGCTGATCACTGCCATTACTAGTAAAAATATAAAAAAAAATGCCCAGTATATATACCGCCATTTGTAAATGTTGTAACTTTCACATAAACCAATTAATTTACACGTATTGGGATTTTTTTTTAGCAGAGACATGTCGCAGAATACATTTTGCCCTAAGTTTATGACGAAATTTTTTTTTTTCTTCATTTTTTTACTGGACATTTCAAAAAGTCAAAAATATAGTTTTTTTTCTCAAAATTGTTGGTCTTTTTTTTTTTTATGGAGCAAAAAATAAAAACCGCACAGGTGACCAAATACCATCGAAAGAAAGCTCTATTTGTGGTAAAAAAAAAAGTATGCAAATTTCATTTGTGTGCAGCGTTGCATGACTGCGCAATTTTCAATTAAAGTAACGCAGCGCTGTAACACAAAAATGGCCTGGTCAGGAAGGGGAGTTAATCCTCTGGAGGGCAAGTGGCTAATGAGCTGTTTCTCTTTTCATTGACCAGTCCCAGGCTGGGGAATGAACAAGACACTCTGGGGTTTATTTACTAAAGCTGGTTCACTCAGAATCTTGTGCACTGCTGCAGAGAAACCAATCAGCTTCCAAAGCTTAACGGAAGAAGCTGAGGTTACAAGCTGATTGGCTACCATGCAGAGGTGCACGAGATTCTGAGTGAACCAGCTTTAGTAAACAAACTTACTTAAAAGGGAGCTAAACTCTGCAATATCTATCTATCCTTCAATGATCCGGCGTCCCTAGTTGGAGCCAGTATCTTCAACCTAGAAATTCTGAAGGACCCTCTGCACACTGGTATATACCCTTTCAAGCAAACTATGCAATAAATAGGGATATTTGGTTCACACATATTGCAATACATGCTTAAGCTGGCCAACTGCGTCAAAGTATCTTCAACCTGGCTTCTTACAAGTGCTGGACTGCACCCATCTTTCATTTTTACATCATGGTATGACATCACTCCTGTGCATGCGCAGGAGTGCAGTCATTTTGGCAAACAGGTGCTGTGAGCCAGAATGTAAACCGAGCTGCATTTGCACTAGGCAGGTAGTCTTCTCTTATGGCATTGCATGTCTCTCCTGCAATAAAGAGCCTGTCTGCTTCCAGGTTAGTTCCACTTTAACAAAGGTAAGCCAGGATCCCTTCTCTACCAAACAGGACTGTTTTGTGGCTGCACTGTGCTAAATCGCAGGTCTGGATGGACAGAAATACAAATCGTTTGCCGGGTGTAACAATTCCCACATTTTCTTCATCTGTGGATCCTGGTGGCCTGCAATTCTTTTAGTAGTACTGCAAGATGAAATATTGTTTCATGTATCTGAGATGGTAATACTTTGCTGTAATCTTTTCCTGTAGAAAACATCTATTCCCATCTTGATGAGGAGAGTTCTGAGTCCTCTACATATGCTGGAAGCCTACATGTTGAAAAACCACGTCCACGGCCAAAAGTGTTTATTTGCTATTCCAACAAAGACTGCCAGAAACATATCAATGTGATCCAGTGTTTTGCTCATTTCCTGCAGGATTTCTGTGGATGTGAAGTGAGTAGCTTTTTCGAGTTTTATCTTTTAGCAGTGAATGTATCTTACCGGTTTAAGATGCTGACACTAATGACGTCTGACCTGTCTACTACAGACAACCTGTCAGTGCTCATGAAGGCATTGTCACATCTCTGCAGGATTTGAGTAGCCATGGTAGTCATGGAAGTAGAAAGGATTAGAACCCCTGTCAAGCTTTTATTGCCTCTATTTGTACTGGTGACAACTGCTCTCAATAAAAGAAAGTGAGGGTTAATCAAAATCTCGAGAGTTGTCCCCAGAGCAAGAGGTAAGGGGAAATCACTGTGGAAGATTTCCTATAACTTCCTGTTGTGTCCATTGGCCAGGAAGTGAAGGGAAGTTTCCCCAGTGGTACATAGACAGCAAAAAAGGTGGCAAGTGTTTTAACCCTTCCATACTCTATCTATAGCCAATCCTTTTTTTTAGTTTGGATAAAGAAACACTGTCAGCTTGCTCACTCAGGGTAATGTTAAATGTATAGTGTCTTTGTAGGGTGCCCTCCTTGAACCCTTGATACTCACCTTGTCAGCACTTCTCCATGGATCTTGCCTCTGTTGCAGCTAGCAGAAAAGCCCCTATAGTCAGCTAGTATTGGGTGTTAAGGGGAGCCATGGTACCATTTTCCTGATTATATGATTGGTTGCTAGACCCAGACATTGTGACATGGGAGAAGATCACATGCTCCTCCATGCCCAGAAGTAGCAGTTATTGGTGCCAGCTGCTTCATAGGAAGGGATGATGGTCAGGGAATGCTAGCAACCTGAGTATCGAGGGTTCAGAGGGTATTCTTTCCCTAAATGGGCAAGATGACAGTATCTTTAAAATAAAATCTTTGCATAGAGAAGTGAGGAAGCAGCTATTGCTGGCTTTGTGAAAATGTGTGTTGCCCAACTGTGTATGCTCTCAGAACTTTAACAGAGCCAGAACAAGTATGCAGCAAGAGAACTCCTGATCTGCATACATGTTCCAGATTTTTAGTTTTTCCAGAGGGAGACAGCAATGCCATCCATGTATTTCTATCAATACATGTTTCCTTTAAAATGTGAAAGATCTAGTTCTAGCTGAAACTATGCCGGAGATAAGACATGACTAGAGCACCCTCTGCTGAATCTGCTTGGCTGCCAGCTGCTACAAGACGGAGATTATTCACTAATTATTTGCAGATTCAGTCTTTAAAATTAGTTTTTCCATTTTAATTATGTTTAGAGTTTCAGGGCAGAACAAAAGCTTATTTCCATGAATCATTTTCATTTGTGGTCTCTGTTTTAAAGTACAAATAGACCATTTATTTTTGCCCTTTTGCAGGTTTCTCTGGACTTGTGGGAAAACCTAAAAATTTGCAAAGAAGGTCAGAGGGAGTGGCTGAAACAGAAGTTGAAAGACACTCATTACATCATCATTGTGTGCTCCAAGGGTTTGAAGTATTTTGTAGAGAAGAAGAAGAAGAAGAGCAAGGTCACCAATCTTGAGTCTGGGAAAGGGGAGATCTTTGTGAGCGCCATGTCCATGATCACTGAAAAGCTGACCAAGGCCCAGGGCAGCTCCGATAGTTCAGATGACCTAAGTAAATTCATCACGGTTTACTTTGATTACTCAAGTGAGAATGATATTCCTGGGGTTCTTGATAGAACAAAGAAATACAAACTCATGGATCACCTTCCCCAACTCTACTACCACCTGTATTCCAAGGAGCTAAGCTTGCAGGACCACGAACAGTACCCAACTAACATCAGCAAGCGCAACTATTTCCGCAGCAAAGCTGGGCGCTCCTTGTATGTCGCCATTTGTAACATGCACCAGTATATTGAACAGGAACCAGACTGGTTTGACAAGCAGCATGCTCCATCTCACTCTCCTGCTCAGCATTGCCAGGAACCGGTGATGGAGAAATTTGACTCGGGCCTAGTGTTAAATGATGTTGCCGTGAAACAGGTGACAGAGCATGATCTGCCTGTGCGATCAGAAGTGCTGACATCAGCAGACTGTCATTCACAAGTGCAGAATATTGATACTGGGGAGGAGTTGGAAGTACCAGTCACTCATGTTGAGTGTTGTGTTCTGCAGCCAGTGCTCCATTCTGTGAAGGTGGTCAACCAGACAGACATGCCTCGGGACTCTGGGATATACGATTCTTCTGTTCCTTCTTCTGAGCTTTCATTGCCATTAATGGATGGACTACTGCCTGACCAGATAGAAACCTCATCTATTGCAGAGAGTATTTCATCATCTTCAGGACTAGGTATGTCAAAATTACCATGATCAGGCATCATTCTAATTGCAAGGTTCATAGGACTGCTTATGACTTTTTCTTTAAAGGCATAAAGTCTCTATCTTTTGGACTATGATTCCTCTTACACCCATATTTGAGGTGTAATATGAAAAATACATAAAAAACACCAATCCCAAAATCCTCACCGCTCCCTCCCCCTAAACTGGAATGCTGACTTGCAACGCTGTTTTACTTTGAATTTAGCAGTCCGTATGGTGCTCCACTCACTACATCTAGGACAGGGAGTGTTTACAAACATTGACTACAAATCCCATCTGCCACTGCAGGACTTCCTTTTTGAGCTGACAACACCGTGTCTCTGCTGCACTGAAATCCGAAGCAGTGTTGTCATCCCCGTCCAGTTCTCCCTTGCTGGACTACAGACCACCTTCCCCTCTCCTCATGTCCATAACATACAGGGGAAGTGTTCAGAAGTTACATAGTTAGTCTGGCTGAGAAAAGACAAAAGTCCATCCAGTTCAACCATAAATAGTAGTCCAGATGGGAAACCTAGCAACATCTTTCAATGCTTCTTTCACATCTCATGTCTATCCTGTTTATTTCAACAAATACACTATTCAAAATATGTGCCCTGAGAGAGGCCTGGCAGACATGTCTTCATGCTGTCAAGTTATGCTTACACATCTGCCCTCCCATGTCACCCTAAAGCGGTAGTACACCGCCAGAAAAAAAAAACCTAAGAGTACCTTGCTGGTTTATCCTAGAATGTGCTAGTACGTACTGCATACTAGAACATTATGGCACACTTACCTGCACAAAGAGCCCTCTAGTGCTGCCATGTTTACCCGGTATTCTTTCCGGGTTTGTGGCCTCCGGCTGCTTGAGTGGCCCATAATGACGTCACTCCCGTGCATGTGCGCAGGTATCCCGTGAGAGATGTCATTGGCTATTGCCGATGTGAATATATCCTAAACGGTGCACATTTAGGAGATATTCATTGTACCTACAGCTAAGCTTGATTGTACGCTTACCTGTAGGTACATACAAATTACTATAGGGGACTTTACTACCACTTTAGGACTGAAGAGGGAAGATCTACTGGGATCTCTAGAACAGATCTCTTCCACAGAACTCTCACACCAAGTACATCAGTGAGGCTGCAAAGTTTCAAGCGCCGTACTATGCTCAGTCTGCTTAATCCAGCAAAGTAATCTATCCTGCAGCTACAGGATGGAAGTCTTCAGTATGAGTATGATAATTTGGGGGGGGGGGGAGTGTTTGTTTCAAGTTTGCATTCCTGTCTTTTAAGGGCTTTGATTTATACATTTGTTTCTACTTCCCTGCAGGAGAGGAAGAGCCAACGATCCCAAAATCAGTGGTGTACAGCGTGTGCAAAGCAGATCTCCACTGCCACATTCACCCGGATGAGCTCCAAGCCGTTGCACCTTTGTAGCTGATTGGTTAACCTATTCTTTTCCAAAGGACTGGCTACCCCAATGGCAGTGAAGGAGTTAATATGCATTGCCACTTTAGAAAAGGTTCTGTGAACGGTCACCGTGCCACTGCGGACCCTGAACCTACTTGAATATATGAGAGACAGAAAGGGCACCCCTGTCTCATTTTGTATCACTAGCCTGGGACTTTTGGCTGCTGAACAAGATAGAATTTGAGGGTCAGATTGTACACAATCATGCAGGACATTTGAAGTTTACTGCATAAATCTGGGAGTGACTGATTGGGTCCCACAATGGGACATAGATGACAATTTATTTTTCTTTTAAATATTTGGGAAAACATATTTTATTTTCCTCCAGTGGAAAAACAACAGAATGGCAGTGTTTTCTTTAAATTGGTCACCAGCAGCAGGTCTTCTTGATTTGTTAAAAGGGAATAAAATATAGCTTTTGGTAAAGCCAGAAAAATAACTTCATTCACAATGATCTCAATGAATTGAGCTCAGTTAGGTGTACTATATACACTATAGTATAAAAAAACCCTTAAGTGCCATTTCATATGTATGTTTACACCAGTCACCGCTGGGGGGGCGCTATTCATTCACCACGGTACTAAATCTCAGAGAGCGGAGAGACTCCAACTATTGAACATCCATAGACGGAGCATATACCTCATTATATTCTGTTGTTACCAGCCAAAGGATATCCTGCCAGCATGGGCAGAATTCACTATAAGAACAGCAATCCAGATATGGTTCTCCAGTGCAGTAATATGTTTCTAGCTATTTACAAGCTTGCTTTCCTTTTGTAAAAAGTTCTAAAAATATAAAAGGCCGGGTATGATTGGCTGCTATGGATTGCTGCCCTTTTGGGCACAGATGGCTTGACTTTTGACCATTCAGTCACTAAGAAACTGAGAAAGTCTCTCAAATTCCCCATCCGTGCTGTTAGTGTGGTTTTGGGAATCTGCATTATACTCATACAGCCACAGCACTCATGGCTGGCTGACTTTCAATTGTGCTGCTGAACTGTGACTGCATTTGATAGGATGGATGTCGTCACTGTTCAACTGTTTTGCAGCCAGGTCTGTTGGTTTTGCAGGGCCACCCACGGCTCAAATTTTGGCCAATTTGAGTCATCTATGCCCAATTTTCTTTTGCCTGCCATGCAGTGTCTAAACAAACGCATGGTGCTTACAGACTGCTGCAGAGCTGAGATTTCCATGCTGTCTCTGTTCAATGAACAGAAGTTACTGTAGAAGTCACTTCTCTATCTGGTGTCTGCTCAAATCACTCAATATAAAGAAAGGTTACTCCTTACTTCATATCTCTCCTGAACTTGATTTCAGCTAAGGTGCCAGTACCTGCAGAATTCAGGTTTCCATTGAATACTGTGGTACAGAAAAGATCTTTTTGGGTAGAACAGACTAGGCTGAGTTCTAAGGCTGCAGATATCAATAGCTAAGTATTGTTCATATATCATTTATGAAATATCTCATTATAGCTACATTTAAATAATAATATGTATTGCAGGGCACCCCAGTGGCTGAGAGGTAATACACAGTGCTGGTATGAATGGGTCCTTGTTAGTTTCTGAATTCTGCATTCATTTGTTCACCCGTGCTGTATGGGGAGCTGTACCTCTAGCACCAGTCTGTAAGCACCTTCAGAATCCCAGAACAGGCAGTAAGGGGCGTTACATTTGCAGAAGTCGGGTTAAATGTAAGATATGTTACCTGTCTTGTATGGTACATAACAAGACCGGCATTAAGCCTGGGTTCACATTTGTGTGGTGCAGCATATCACATGTGATTCGCACAGGAACCGCACATGCAAATGCTGTGCAGTGCGATTTGAGCTATACATTTTGTATGGCTCAAATAGCACCGAATCCACACCAAAAAGGTGCAGGACCCTTTTTTGGTTTGCACTAGAATCAGATTGCATGGGTATTCACACCTATGCGATCTGATACTGTACATCGAACCGCGTTTTGCAGACCGATTATGGGGTGGTGTTAAAATAACATACACACCCGCGGGATGCGATTGTGATGCGGTGCGGAATTCGCACAGAAACCACTGAATTTTGCACCGCATCAGTGTGAACCCAGGGTAAGAGTGGTGCCAAGGTATTTGTTCTGAGATTATTTAAGCTGGTTTGTGAGCTCACAGGATGGCAGTGTGAGACAGAATTGTGTACAGTCTTCTTTGGTTGACTGGTACAGAATGCTGAGCCTTGTAGTTCCACAGTATAGTGTGATGGTTTTCTTTTTCAAGGATCAAGAGCTACTTTGAACACGAGGTGCAGAGCCAGTCTGAACTGTGCTTGTGTAAGAATTGAAATATTCAGTATAACTGATTAGAACTGAGCGGGCTTCTTAAAGATTTTCATAAGTATGCCTGCACAATTAGAACACCTAAAGCTGAAATCTAGGTATGGCAATTTTTACACTGATACATTGGACCAGCTTGGCCTACTAGAAGTATGTATGTTCCATACCTGTGAGATCCTTGTGGAACCTGAAAATCACTGTAGTAGACACCGCTACTACAATGATTACTGCTAGCTTCTGGGTCCCGTTTCGAGCGGCTGTAGTTCTGCCTGCTGAATACAAGAGGTCTTTAGCTTGGCATTGATGCCATTTTCTGAACAATTTACATTTTTTCAGGGCGTGCAAAGTGTTCTCTGAGCAAGTTGGAGAATGAGACAATATGCCCTACCTCTCCACGTTGTCCATTCAGAAAACAGTTTGCATGCACTGAGAAGATGGAAAGTGTTCTCTGAATGGCAGCTGTGCCAAAAAGCAATCTCCTGTGTTCACAGGGCAGCCGCTCTGCATGGGACCCAGAAGCTAATGGAGATGATTGGAGTAGTGGTGCCTGCTGCAGTGGTTTGCAGCTTCTGCTGGGGTCCCACAGGTATGGAACATACTTGCAAGTAATAATTGCTATACATGGAATTCATCTTTAAGACTGAAAATTCATTCTCTGAACACTTTCCATTTTTTTACGGCGTGCAAAGTGTTCTCTGAGAAAGTTGGAGAATGAGACAATATGCCCTACCTCTCCACCTTGTCCATTCAGAAAACAGTTTGCATGCACTGAGAAGATGGAAAGTGTTCTCTGAATGGCAACTGTGCCAAAAAGCAATCTCCTGTGTTCACAGGGCAGCCGCTCTGCATGGGACCCAGAAGCTAATGGAGATCATTGGAGTAGTGGTGTCTGCTGCAGTGGTTTCCAGCTTCTGCTGGGGTCCCACAGGTATGGAACATACTTGCATGTAATAATTGCTATACATGGAATTCATCTTTAAGACTGAAAATTCAGAACCATAATCACAATTGTAAATGGATCTCTTAAAACACTGGGGAGAATGACTAAAACTGGAGAGTGCAAAATCTGGTAGAGCTCTGCATAGAAACCAATCGGCTTCCAGGTTTTATTGTCAAAGCTCAGTTGAACAAGCTGACATTAGAAGCTGATTGGCTGCCATGCACAGCTGCACCAGAATCTGAATGCTCCAGTTTTAATGAATCTCCCCCACTATGTGATTAATTTAGCGTGCTCACAGTCACCATCAGTTTAAACAGTCAGAATGTAAGTTTTTAAGGTAAATTGTGTAATAATTGTAAATATAATTTATAGACGTTCTGTTCTGCAGCCGAATAAACCTTATCAACTTGGCAAATGCTTTTGCTGATCAGATACTAAATTTAAATTTAGTTTAGAAAAGACAAGTCAAGCACACCCAAATGAACACTCTGAGGCTTTCTATTTGGATTCTTAAAATTTGTCATAATGATGCCAATTCTTTTTAATGCAGAAATACATTCACTATAATTCATCCATTCAACTCCCTGGCACTTGGTGATATCGGTGTTAGTGATGGCATTCTGAGCAGATGGATATACATTTTCTTTTATGGTCATTCAAAAAGTGCGCACAGAAATATGGCAGCCTTCAGTCAAGGGTCCATTCCCACTGGCATATTTGTATTTTCTGCATGAACACAGGTTCTTTGTGGCAGAAGATCCTGCACCATTTATGCGTGTTTGTATGTAAAATCTGCAGATCTTTGCAGCCCTGGACACAGGTGTCCTACTTTTTTTTTTTTTTTTTTTTTTGTGCAGCTAAAACGTAGCACATATTTTTGCAGATAGATGCAGCTGTGTGTCTGGGCTCATTGAATACTATAGCACTGTGTTTAAAAAAAAAAACTATGCGCAGTGTGAATCCAAACACAACTATGCGCAGTGTGAATCCAAACACAGTGTTTTTTCTGCCTGTATGATTGAGCCCTAAGGGAGTTCTAATTATTGAATAGGGAGGGATAAAAGACCTAGAAATAGAAAATTATACTTACTACCTTTGTCTGAACATTATACTTGAATTTGCTAATGGAGAATAGCTCAGAATGAACAGGATGTATTCATTCTGATCACAGATCACTGTGCATCTGCCCTTTTAGGTGACTCGCTTGTCCTTGTAGACTTTGGGGGTCTTTCACATCAGAACATGGTGCAGGAAACCTGTGTTTTATGTGTGTTTCCTGAACTGCATTTAAAATGTGCTGGGTGTACGATCTGCTGCGGGTGTCAATATAATTCTAGTGACAACCCAAACGTAGATCACAACTGCAGTGTGTTTGCTTGCACCAGATCATAAGGTACCACAGTACAATGCAACCTGGTGCAGTGCATTTTTGAAAAGCAGTGCATACTGTAGTTTTGGTGCGATCCAGTGCGGTTTCAGCCCTGGGCTGAAAATTGCACCGCACTGAGTCACACAAGAATCGCACAGGAATGCAGGCCGCGTTCCTGTGCGATTCAGGTGTCAATCGCCCCCCCAGTGTCTTTCTGCAGATTCCTTCTCTTATTAAAATTCTAGACCAGGGGTCTCCAAACGTTCTAAACAAAGGGCCAGCTTACTGTCCTTCAGACTTTTGTGAGGCTGGACTGTGACCATTGTGAGCAGAAAAGGTCCCGATGTCAGTGGGAAATAACAATGTCCCCATCTTTGGTGTCAGTGGAAGGAATTGTGCCCTATTGAAGGTGTGATTGGGAGGAATTGTGCCCTATCGTTGATGTCATTGGGAGGAATTGTGCCTCATCATTTGTGTCATTGGGAGGAATTGTTCCTCATATTTGGTGTCATTGGGAGGAATTGTGCCTCATCATTGGTGTCCTTATTGGGAGGAAATTGTTCCTCATCTTTGGTGTCATTGGTAGGAATTGTTTCCTCATATTTGGTGTCATTGGGAGGAATTGTGCCTCATCATTTGTGTCATTGGGAGGAATTGTTCCTCATATTTGGTGTCATTGGGAGGAATTGTGCCTCATCATTGGTGTCATTGGGAGGAATTGTTCCTCATCATTGGTGTCATTGGGAGGAATTGTGCCTCATCATTGGTGTTATTGGGAGAAATTGTGCCTCATCATTTGTGTCATTGGGAGGAATTGTTCCTCATATTTGATGTCATTGGGTCAGGAAATTGTTCCTCATCATTGGTGTCATTGGGAGGAATTGTTCCTCATCTTTAGTGTCATTGGGAGGAATTATACCCCTTTATTGGGGTCAGTGTGTATGTGTTGGGGGGAGGTGGATTATGCCCCGTTGTTGGTATCAGTGGATAAAATAGTGCCCCAAGGGCCAGAAAAAAATCAAGCAAAAGGCTGCATCTGGCCCCCGGGCCGCAGTTTGGAGACCACTGTTCTAGACTGCATCATTGCCAGCTGAAAGGCTAGTGGAATGTGAGATCTGACTGAGGGATGTGGAGCGCTGTGTAACAATGTACAATTTGGAATAAAACAATCTGTGGTAGATTCGGCAGTAAAGATTATTTGAAAAGCTACTTTAAACATCTACTGTACAGTATATAGCACAGTCAGTATAAGTAACAATGCTGCCCTCTACTGTTCATAACCAGCAATGCATTCTGAAATTGCAAATCAGTTTTCCAGAAATCTAGATACATAATTTTTTTCTACATTCAAATAAATGCCTTTAAGTTTGGGTAGTCTGTAGAAAACCATCTATTTTCTGAATTGTATGGGTCTGATTGTTTTGATCACCTCTGTTCACAAAACATTATTGTGTGCAGCCATTAACACTTCATGAGTCCTGCTAATGCAAAGCAAGAAATATTTGCTGTTCTTTTGAACTTTGACTTATGCAGTATGCTGTTTTACAGTGGAATGGTTAGCTAGAAAGGTAAAGGTTCAGAATTTTGAGATTTTAAAGGAAATGTAAGGTCGCTGAATTACACATTTCTCAACAGACATGGATTAGAATGAAAACAATGTTACTAAACTCCTGTAGAAATTTCTAAGAACTTTCTTCTTTGAAGGCTGTAGTGTGTCATTTATTGATAGCAGTTTGACAAAAATTTGAGGAACTTCCAGCTGAGCAGATCATCAGCACATTGCCATGAAATTATTGCACTACCAAGGGAAAGGAGCACAGCAATACAAATATATCCACTGCCCTCTACTGGTCATATCATATGATGCGCCCAGAATTGACTTTGGTGGTCGTAAGTGTGTCCATTAAAGCTTTGTAATTATGATAATTCAGAGCAAAATGTGTTTCCCTCCTTTTTGTTTTAAATTCAGTGATGAATATGCCAGTTCATGACTGCTATGCTAATTACAGAACTATTAATTGTGAATGCACAACGCGTGGCAGCGCACCACAACACAGATACCAAGCATTGTGGTCCGTTGCTGGGTGTTGGGATGAAAATGGTGAATGTACATTATTCTTCCATTGAAATGTGTTGGCAGTCTGCTTACAATGAACGCAATTAACCTTAATGCACTGCAATGAACCACAGAAGTATAAATGGGCCCTTACAGTGAACCTGTGCCCAAACTATGTACACTAAAGTATTTACATATTCTGAACAAGCAGTAGAAGCACTGCCCCCATTCACCTCCATAGCTATAAGCATTGTGTAGAAATTGGAAATTTTACGTTTTTTCCCCTGTTACTCTCTACTGCACCCCACAATCTTGGCCAGTCTTCTAATATGAACAAACAGTGGGTGTTTTACAGTGTTCCAAACTGTCTGAAACTGGCTCTTTAGGGCCCCATTCACACTTAGCGATTTGGGATCGTGGGCGGAATCCCCCAAAAGAAGCTCCTGCTCCTTTTTGGGCCAAAAGCTTAGTGCAGTGCAGTTTGCCACAATTGCCACGTGACTATCGCAGCATTTCAGGTACCTTTTTAAAAAAGGATTAGCACACTAACACGTGATGCGTTTTGCCAGGATTGCAGGGTAATTTGGAATCACGGGCAGAATTGCTGTGATTCTGCCTGCTATCCCATTTCGCTAAAAATGAAGGCCTTACTGTTAGCAACATGTAAATAGTTTAAACTCCTGCTGACCACATAACACATATATACGGCAACAATAAAAGTGGGATTTAAAGTTCATTTGTCACACACAAATGTGTTCATGGTGGCCTGAGGTTGTTTGCTGCGCACTCCTAGCACACTGATTGAGCTGTCAACGACAGCTCTCAGTCATGGCTTCTGATCAAGACTTAGCAGGATGGGCTCCCAATCATGTGACCGCTGTGAGAGCCAATCACAGCATTCACATGATGCAGAAGCTGCACTGGACATTAAAGCCCACTTAAAAGATCCACTAGGAGGCGCCGTTGAGGGGTTAATATCCATCATCTGGACACAGGTACATTTTTATAGTAACATTTCAAAGGTCAGTTTTAGATGATTAGTGAATTCTGAAATTCTAAGCATAGCAAATTCTGGCTTTCATTCGCCAGTGCTTCCAATAGAAACCTGTCTGAGCACTAAATGCATCCAAATATACAAAGTGCTGCCTATTGACATCAGTCCCACTATACTCTGGAATCTTCCCAGTTTAGCAGATCATAGATGTATTACATTTGATATTGTAGCACCTGTAAGAAGCCTGAATGTCTGAAGTTATTGTGGTACTACAAGCCTCAGCATACACTGCTAACACCTGGTGCCTATAGCAGTGTATTTGAATTGGCCCAATGAGCAATGTCTGCCCATTTTGCAGAGATTTCTTTTCCTTTTTTTTTTTTTTCTTTTTTACTGGTGGAGTTTTTGTAAATATTGTAGCTGTAACAGGCTGTAGCAAGTTCTAAAATGTACATTTATTTTATAAATTAGATTGTATCAGATATGTTAATATTGAAGCAGTGTAATAAGTCATGGTGTCTTCATAACTGTACAATAAAACAAGGTTTTTCTTACTTTTGTCAAGCAATTATTTCCGGCAAATATTTTGTTTTAAAAATGCAAGGTGCGAATACTAAAAAAACCTGTACTCAGATGTTATAGAGGTATCCTCTTGCTGGTCTCCTTCTGAAAATGCTAGTTATCTGGCTTCAACATCCTGAGACTATAGATTTGATTTACTAAATGTGCGGCGGGTGTTCTCTTTGCAAAGTATATCTTCGTAAAAGAGGTGAAGCTGTATTCACTTTGAACAACTGATCATATGCTAGCAACAATCTTTGTTTTCTCCATGTACAGTACCTTCCACATGATTGGGCATTGATAATGAATACACGGGTTCACCTTATTTATCAACGTTTGCTTTGCAAAGTGAATATTCATGGTGCCAAGTGAACAGCCCCTCTTTTGATTTAGTAAATGAACCTCAGAGACTTGGAATAAATATGCAAATCAGGAACATCAGAGCTCCCAGTCTGCAGGATTGTTCTCGGTCAGAGATTGTGAAAGTACTGAAGTCACTAGATCAGCATGATGGCCAGGGAACTAGTATTTTCAGACATAGTAGCCAATGGCAACATCCATACTTGCTGAATAGTCAAGTCTATTTTTTATATGTAAATGGCACATCAACACACTAAGGTGCCACAGTTCAGACAAATAAAACATGGCACCTGCCCCGGTCTATAACTGGCTTATGAAGCAAGGACTACGTGAACCGGGCAACGCATGTCAGTAATAAAGGAAAAAATGGTTCAAAAATCAACTCGCCAGCCAGCTTGCCAACAACCCAATTGACCTGTCTAACAGTATGCGTTAAAAACAGGGGTTTAGTTAGCACACATTTGCAAATACATACGTAAGCCACAGAGCTACATTACGGCACCCTGGTATTCTGTGTGGTTCCTAATGCAGGCCATAGATGGGTCGAAAAATCAGCCGATTTTTCGGCCGAAAATAAAATCGGCCGTTTTTCGGATCGTTAGTGGGCTAATTGTTCGGCCCATTTTTCGGTATTTTGGCAGATTTTTTTTATCGGTAAATTTGGGAAAAAAAATCGGCCAATTTTGCCGATCGGCCCGATTTTCGCGGCAATGATGGGCAAATCGGCCGATCTTTTTACCGATAAAAAAATCTGCGCATGAGCTGTGACCTGCAAGAGGAAGACAAAAAGAAGAAGAAAAAAGAAGAAGAGGATGAAGAACAAGAAGAAGAAGAGGATGATGAAGAAGAGGATGATGAAGAAGTGATGAAGAAGGATGATGAAGAAGAGGAAGAGGATGAAGAAGAGGATGAAGAAGAAGAGTAAGAGGATGAAGAAGAAGAGTAAGAGGATGATGAAGAAAAAGAGGAATTCCAGTCCGGCAAAAAATGTCTCTGCAGAGAGCTCCGCTATTTCTTTGACAGTTCCTTGACATTTATAGCGGTTGCAACAATGTATCTATTTCCGAATAAAAACATCTGTATCGTAAATGGATACAAATACATTGTTGCAACCGCTATAAATGTCAAGGAACTGTCAAAGAAATAGCGGAGCTCTCTGCAGGGACACTTTTTGCCGGCTGTAGACGGGATAAAAATTGGCCGATTTTTTTTTCTTTTTTTTTTTTTTTTTTTTTTTTACCGTTGCTGGTAACGTTGGCTGCTTGAACGACCGATTTTTTTTTTTTTAAAGAAAAAAATCGGCCAATTTTCGACCCATCTATGACCTACATAACTCTACAAATTTGAGAGTCCCCCATAGTAGAGGCACATGCATTTAAAGGATAGACCAGGGGCAGATGCACATAAGGGAGCCCACCCCTCTGAAAGGTACAGAGTGCAAAGAACACCCCCAGCATTTTACTGCCGGTGAGTGACATGCCAAGGAGCCATGCCTCCTACCCTGAAATACAAAATCAAGTATTGTATACGTGATTTTGCGCATCCCTGCCACCCATGTAGCAGTACTTCTGCTATAGGGAGGTCGGGAAACGGTTAAAAAAACGCTCTCCCTGCCCGGCTGCGTCATTCATTTACTGCATTCTGTGAATGGAAAACGATAAGTACTGACAGCCTTTCCTGCTGTCGGCTTGTAGTTTCTTAATGAACTGCCACGGCGCTGTTGAGCTCTGTGCTAGTTCATTGTCTCCTCCTGTCAGTATGTATCAGCCTGCCCATACAAGGTACGAGCAACATATACGCTAACAAGTGTGCAGGAGTCCTTTATGGCACCTGCAATCTGCTTATCGAGGGTGCAATGCTTTCTAGGCTAAAAGTAAAAAAAATAATAAATGCATTTTTTACCTGCAAAAAGATGTACATTTATTTTTTATTTTTTTAACAAAGGTGAACTTATTATTTGGGTTAAAGGATGAGGACTGGGAAGGACCAGATTGTAGGCAGGTTTCCTATTGGTAGTTAGTAAGTTGCCCCGTCCGGGAGGTAGAGGGTTGATTCCTTATGTCACTGCTTTCTGGGCCCCACCCACTGGTTCTGCATTAGTTTTAAAAAAAAATATGTGCACTGTAGAGAGATGGAGTTCCTTCTGACTGTTACCTGTTGTAGGTCCATTGCGTCCTGATGGAGATCTTCAGTGCCTTGAAAAAGTATTCATACCCCTAGAAATTTTCCACATTTTGTCATGTTACAGCCAAAAACATAAATGTATTTTATTGGGATTTTATGTGATAGACCAACACAAAGTGGCACAAATTGTGAAGTGGAAGGAAAATGATAAATGGTTTTCAAAATATTTTACAAATAAATCTGTGAAAAGTGTGGTGTGCATTTGTATTCAGCCCCCCTGGAGTCAATAGTTTGTAAAATCCCCTTTCGCTGCAATTCCAGCTTCAAGTCTTTTTGGGGATGTCTCTCCCAGCTTTGCACATCTAGAGTGAAATTTTTGCCAATTCTTCTTTGCAAAATAGCTCAAGCTCTGTCAGATTGGATGGAGACCGTCTGTGAACTGCAATTTTCAAGTCTTGCCACAGATTCTCAATTGAATTTAGGTCTGGACTTTGACTGGGCCATTCTAACACATAAATATGTTTTGATCTAAACCATTCCATTGTAGCTCTGGCTGTATGTTTAGGGTCGTTGTCCTGCTGGAAGGTGAACCTCCGCCCCAGTCTCAAGTCTTTTGCAGACTCTAACAGGTTTTCTTCTAAGATTGCCTGTATTTTGCTCCATCTGTCTCCCCGTCAACTCTGACCAGCTTCCATGTCCCTGCTGAAGAAAAGCATCACCACAGCTTGATGCTGCCACCACCATGTTTCACGGTTGGGATGGTGTGTTCAGGGTGATGTGCAGTGTTAGTTTTCCACCACATAGCATTTTGCTTTTAAGCCAAAAAGTTAAATTTTGGTCTCATCTGACCAGAGCACCTTCTTCCCCATGTTTGCTGTGTCCCCCACATGACTTCTCACAAACGGCAAACGAGACTTCCTATGGTTTTCTTTAAACAATGGCTTTCTTCTTGATTTGTGGAGTGCACCACTAATAGTTGTCTTGTGGACAGATTCTCCCACCTGAGCTGTGGATCTCGGCAGCTCCTCCAGAGTTACCATGGGCTTCTTGGCTGCTTCTCTGATTAATGCTCTCCTTGCCCGGCCAGTCAATTTACGTGGATGGCCATGTCTTGGTAGGTTTTCAGTTGGTCCATACTCTTTCCATTTTTGGATGATGGATTGAACAGTGCTCCATGAGATGTTCAAAGTTTGGGATATCTTTCTATAACCTAACCCTGCTTTAAACTTCTCCACAACTTTAACCTTGACCTGTCTGGTGTGTTCCTTGGCCTTCATGATACTGTTTGTTCTCTAACAAACCACTGAGGGCTTCACAGAACAGATGTATTTATACTGAGATTAAACTACACACAGGTGAACTCTATTTACTAATAAGGTGACTTCTGAAGGCAATTGGTTCCACTAGATTTTAGTTAGAGGTATCAGAGTAAAGGAGGCTGAATACAAATTCACGCCATACTTTTCAGATATTTATTTGTAAAAAATTTAAATGTTAAAAACCATTTATCATTTTCCTTCCACTTCACAATTATGTGTCAATTTGTGTTGGTCTATCCCAAAAATATATATTTAAATTTTTGGTTGTAACATGACAAAATGTGGAAAATTTCTAGGGGTATGAATACTTTTTCAAGGCACTGTATGTTCTGAAGCCTTTCACATGTAGGGGGAACTTCTGGGACTTGCAGTCTGCCCTGAAGACACCATTACCTGGATTCTGCCACTATGGACATGCAAAGTATGGACACTTACCTGTGCTGGTATGCTTGGTCAATGTATCTCGACCTTTTTTCAGTTAAGGCACCCTTTAAAACTATGGACAGTCTTGAGACACCTCATTCTAAAATGTGAAAAACTATTCTAATAATTTCATATAACGCAGCAACATCCACACATGTAGGACACTCAACATTAGAGGTGATTTATTCTTCCAAAGCAAATACACTTTTGCACACTGGTACTGACTAGTATTTCAGTGTTTCTCTTCTCCATCAGTTTTTTTCCATCCCTGAGCTAATGTGACCCCAGCACTGATGGAGAGGGGCAGGGGAGGGTCACACTAGGATGCTCTGCAGGTGGCTGACATCGTCTTTATCAACTGATGATATCATTGGTTGTCAGGACGCCGGCTGCTAGAAGGTCCTAATGGTGCACAAAGACGAAAACCTGTGGCTTTGTGTAACTAAAAGGCAGGCTTGTTCCACCCAGTGCAAATGGAGAAACAGAAAAAGGGCGCACCGACCTAGTGCATTATCATTTAAAATATTTATTGAGGAAACAAAGTAAGTATCATACTTACAATAGACATAAAAACACAGGCATGTCAGAACCTATATAAAGAGAAGTGCAGACTCCTATAGTATTGGCTCTGAGGAAGAGGTTGTGTCCTCGAAACGCGTTAGCAAGTTGGTCATCCATCGTATGGACTCAGATGTTGTTTGGATCATACATCTTGTTCAGTTTGACATGCCTGTGTTTTTATGTCTATTGTAAGTATGATACTTACTTTGTTTCTTCAATAAATATTTTAAATGATAATGCACTAGGTCGGTGCGCCCTTTTTCTGTTTCTCCATTTGCATTTAGTGTATTTGGATCACCCCAGTCTGTTGAGGGTAGCAAGCAGTGCATATTCCAGAAAATTCCAGAACATTCCTATTGGGTCTGCTGGGTCCTTTACAGGCGCAGGAGAAAAGTGTTTGTTGTGTTGGATTGTTCCACCCAGTAGTTTGTATAAAAGTTTGGGGCAATTTTTATACATTTTGCCAAGGCACCCCTGAAGAAACCTCAAGGCACCCCAGGGTGCCTGCGCACCCTGGTTGAGAAAGGCTGTGCTGGGGCAGCCACAGCTAGTTAGGGCAGATAGGGAAAAGATTTGTTGCACTTTCTGGAACTGTAATACTGAGATTCTTCAGTAAAGTGTTTAAACTTTGCCATGCCTGGCCTGAAGTTATTCAAGGGGTGTATGAAAGTAGACGGCACCACACTTAGTCTACAACTGGGGTTAGAGAAACACATTGAGGTATGAAGACAGCTCCGTAAGGGTTAACATGTTGAGGCCCACAGTAAGTGGTTAACAGGAGTGACAGGTTTATAGCCCACACAAGCTGCCTGTCTTGAAGCGTGTATCTATAACAGTTGGGATGTCCTCAACAACGAGGGAGTTGTTGGCACACTCTCCAAGCGGTCCGTCTCCCTTAGCAGATCAGACACCACAGAGGTTCCCAGCCTGGTCATAAGTACGGAAGAGAAAGAGGTAATCTAGTGCACACATGGGGTCCACAATAGGTGCACGGCGGGACTCCATTCCGTTACTGGAAATGAGGAAGCAGAGATACGCTGGACAGATGGAGCAGACATCAGCTCAGCATGTCCCTCCTAAATGCAACAAGTGACAGTGAAGGTGTTTGGGTGGAGCTCTGCTTTAATCTGCCTATTGGCTCCTCCAACCAGCTATGATCCTCATGCATCGCATAGAGAAACGCAGAGACCTACTAAAGATGTCACTGGGACTAAAATAAGATATGTCATATGTAAAACAAAAACAAAAACAGAAAAGACGTTATTTTAAAATGTCATTAGCATGCTGATTTTAAAGGAAAGTTGGAACCAAGGGATGGCAAAATATAAGCATTAGACTTCAGTAAATATTGTCTAAATACATTCATCATGCGTATTCTTCCTCGAGTCCTGGTTCACACTGATGCACATCTGATGTGTTCCAAAAAGCATAGACTCACACGTCAAGAGAGATAACATGGCTTTCTATGGTGGTCATTCACACCTATGTATTCCAAACGCAATGTGATTTCCAAAAGGGTCCTGTGCATGTTTGGTGCGTT